TTGTCTCGCTATGCTCCGAACCACCGATTTTGTGACACAGTTTTGGGTGGATTTGTGAGTTTCTGAAAACAGCAAAGTCATCGGTATTTACGGTGGTTTCAATGTGTTTTACATACCCAAGAAAGACGGAGGTAGATCATGGGGGGGGGGCTGACCATATATATATATATATATATAATATAGAAGCCTGAATAGTTACCAATATTATTCCTTAGGGCCTAGGGGTCCTTTTAAAGAATCACTCGCGTAACTATGTATACTATGAAAATATACCCCGAAGCCCTACTCTAATCACAAAGGCCCCTTCGTTGGACCACTTGTAGAAATCGTCAAGCCCTCAACCACGTCCAAACCCTAAACCTAAATCCTACACCCTCAACCCTACCCTAAACCTAGACCCTAAACCCTAAACCCTGTTAGAAATCTCAAAGCGATGTCGAGGTTTCAGATGCCGCTCGCGCGTTACGCTCCGCAACCATGGCACGGGACCCTGGGGGATTGGCGAGCCTGGCAGGGGTTTAAGGTTAAGGTTTAGGATTTGGTTGCGGTTGTTATTAGGATTTCGGGTAGGGGCTCAGGATTTATGATTCAGATTCTGGGTGCCAGTTTGGGGTTCAAGGTTTGGGCAGAGAGACTCTCGTTCGGGGTCTGGGGTTTAAGGTGAGTTTGGGGCTTGGGGTTCGAGTTTAGAGATTTTGGGTGTTGGGAATTTCACGGCTTGGGTTAGGTTTTGAATTTAGAGTTTAAAATTAAGGAATTGTGGTAAGTTTGGGTAAGTTTAGGACCTAATGCAAAAGGAGACTTGGGAAGACGGGGCTTCGGTTGAGGCATTGGGTTTGTGAATTAGCATTTGGGGCTTAGCGTAAGGTGTGGGTGTGTAGAAATCAAGCTTGACAAAATGGCGTACACAAGCCATTGCACAAGTAAGCGCAAACTTGCACTGGCAGGAGAAATCTCCCTTGCCTCATGTGGGAGCTTTGGAAAAGTAGGGGTCCCTGATACTAGGGGTCTTGACTCCTATTGTCTATAGCGGTCAGGAATGGTGTTCAACCCTGAGACACTCTGAACACCTAGCTACATCAACTCTAAAGCCTTCAGCCCTAAATCCCTGAGCCCTAAACCCTAAGCACCTTTCAGCTTGATTCCCAAATCCCTTAATCAATTCAGATCATATACAGTAGGAACCCTAGGATGACTTAAGGTATGTTCCTGAATTAAGGATCCCTAATATGATATCCCGTCTATTCTTCAACTCAGGATCCTTAAGATGATGTATGGTATACTCCTTAATTCAGGACCCCTCATATGGTTCAATGCCTATAACTTAATTCGGGATCCTCCTATAATTCAAGGTAGATTCCTTAGTTACGGGATTTTGGAAAATCTGGGTAGTCCCCAAACCCAAACCCTAAACCCTAAAGCCCCTAAACCCTAAGCCCAAA